AAGTAAAGGAAGAAATAAAATTTGTAACTCAAATGCATACATAGCCGTGTGCGATAAGAAGAGAGTGTGATCAGAGCGATCGTGGCCGTAGGCATGGTAAAAATAATGACCGGAGTCAATGTGGCCATAGCCATAGTAAGAGATGATGACCGAAGTCATGGTGGCCAGAGCCGTGATAAAGAATGATGACCGGAGTCATAATGGCCAGAGCCGTGATAAAGAATGATGACTAGAGTCATAATGGCCGGAGCCGTGATAAAGAATGATGACCGGAGTCATAATGGCCAGAGCCGTGGTAGAATATGTGACATGTAGTCACAGTAATCATAGCCGAAGTAAAGCACATGTCTCTATGGCCGGAGCCGGAGTGAAACATGTTGCACTAAGTCATTGTGGCCATAACCGAAGCGAAATACTATGCAAGTTAAAAAGTGTAATATAAAAATAAACAGAAATGTTGAGTTAGGTTTAGGTACAAAGATGGGGGTCATAATGGCCGGAGCCATAATAATAAAATATAATGATCGAGGTCGTAATGGCCGGAGCCATAATAAAATATAATGACCAAGGTCGATGTGAAACATGTAATGCAGGATCGCTGTAGCCGGAGCCGAAGTGAAACACTTGCAAAAATTGAAAATGTGCAAAAGTGAACGAAGGTGTTGAAATGGGCGTAAATGGGCCCGTCTGAAAAATCTGACAATTGTCCATGGGATGACGTGTGCAATAAATGCAGTCGTAAAAAGATAACTGCAACAGGTAAACAGGCAAATTTTAAAAAACGAACCGTCAAATTCAAAACGGTGCCGTTTGGGGTTGGCCGTTGAATCCCAAACGGTGTTAATAGGAACCGTAAGATTAAACGAATCTCAGCCGTTGAGATCTAATTTTGCCCAAAAGTATAAATAGACATTTTTCCTACAAAAAGAGGTTTACTTACATTTCTTTTCCTACAAAATTTCTACGAAAAGCTTTACTGTGTGTTTCGTGCGCTTGAACTGCGGCATCAACTGGGGATCTCTACATCAAGTCTTTCGAAACCGAAATCAGGTAATGTATATGAACCTCTGATTTTGAGTTAATCGAAGTGTCTCTCTCCTTTCTCCCTTTCTATGATTGATTTAAAGTCCTTTGAAGGAAGTTAGGGTTAGAGGTGGGGGGGATTTTGAATGTGCAACAAAAAAGGGTTTTTCTTTTTTTTGGGATCCTAACTTATTCCTCCCCCCTACTTCGTGTAGAGTTTGAGAAAATGTCGTCAGAAAGAACACAAAGTATAGTAGGGAGTGAGGTGATGCCCCTGGACTATGGGAGCATGGACTCAGAGAGTAGTCCATCTCCAACTAGTTCAGAGAAAACGGTGGAGGGGGTGAGAGGAGATGAGGTGGTGGAGGTTGGGGGAAAAAAGGTGGTAAAGATTGGGAGGAATGAGGTGTTAGGGGTTGGGGTAGATAGCATACCCATTACCATAGTAGAAGTAGAAGGTAGAGGAGAGAGAGATTATAATGTGAATGCGGAGACAGTGGAGGAGGTGAAGCAGTATAGTTCTAAACTAAGGACCAGGGATAGCTTGGGTCACTTAGTGGAAAATTACGAGATCTCTTCTCGAGTGCTAGTTAGGCCAACTGGGGTAGAGGAGAGAGCGTGTTCTGCTCCTCGGGACCATTGGATGCCCATATATTCCCACTATCTGATAACGGGGTTGAGGTTTCCAATTCCTGAGTTGCTGGTAGAATTGTTATTAGATTATAAGATAGGGTTGACACAATTAGTCCCCAATGCTATGAGAGTAATAATAGGATTTTTAGTCTATTGCCGAGCTCAGGGGATTAGTGTGCCAACTGTAAATATGTTTAAGTATTTTTTTGTCTTGAAGGGGGGTAGTAGGAGGGATAAGGGGTGGTATTATTTCACCCCCAGGGTAGCCAATAGGGAGAGTAGGTCTTTGTTTACTGCGGGTCCTTCATCCATTAAAGGATGGAAGGAAAAATTCTTTTTTATGGATGATACAGAGTGGGGGAGGGGGGATGCCGAGGTGAGGGAGCTAGCCTCCTGGAAGGCTAAAAGGGCCAACCAGAATAGGTTTAGTTTGAATGAGGATGAGGAGGAAGAAGTGAGGAAGTTGGTGAGGAAGGGGGGGGATTTACTAAACATAATGGACCTCACCAGCGCACAATGCATAGAAGCCGCTGAGCTCTATGGGCCAAGCGCTTTGAGTGAAGGTTGGTTTAATTCTGCATTGTAGTACTGAAGGTAGAGTATAGAACTGTGATTAATATTGTGTTTTCTTTCTTTGCAGCTGAAATGGATCAATTTTTAAACACTGTTGGAGGAGCGGCCATCCCCAAGAAGACAAGGAAGAAGTCAAAGACTTCAACCAAGCAAGTGGATGAGGGGAGGGCTAGGAAGGAGGTAGTGGCCACGACTTCAGTTGAAACGGAGGAGGAGGTGCCACAGTTGAAGAGGAAGGGTTGGGAGGAGAGGAGGGCACTGCAGAAGAAGCAGAAGGTGGTGGAGGAGGAGATGGGGAATGAGGTCCCTCTGTTCGTACCTCAGCCTTCTCTTGTTGAGTTGGACCCTGAGCTCAGACAGTTGGAGGAGGAGGCTAAGGTACGAGCTCTTGGTAAGGGAAAGGGCCCTGTTCCCCAACTGGGGAAAGGGCCCTGTTCCCCAACTGGGGCCTCAGAGCAGCTTGTTCGAGGCGAAGAACATGATGGGGGCTAGGTGGTTCATCAACAACACCTTCCCTGAAGTGGACAGACGCAACGCGCGGGAGGAAGCTTTGAGGTATGGTGGAGCGTCCGTTGTGAAGCATGTTCTAGAGGTATGTTAAAGTATTGATGTTGTTTAGTTAATCTGTTTTGTCTTCTCTTCTTTCTCTCTTAACCTCTGCTTTGATTTGTAGAGCGCAAGCTGGGTGAATGGTCTAGCCCAAGAATTCAGGGAGAGCCTGAAGGAGCACTCACTCTTGTAGAGGCAGTGTGACCAGCTGCAGAAGGAGAAAGAGGAGCTGGAAAAGAAAAATAAAGAACTACAAGAGTCGCTGAATGAGGTGGTTCCAACTGTGAAGCTGTTAGAGTAGGAGAGGTCTTCCCTGAGCACCAAGCTCGTCTTTGAAGAGAGCAAACGAAGGATCTCTGAAAGCGAGCGTGAGGCTCTGGCGCAAGAACTAAAGTTGACGAAGGAGGCTTTCTTGGAGCTGAAGCAGAATGTGCAGACCTTGGTGCATAATGGAATGAAGGAGCACATCAGCAACTTCATAAGCTCCAGCTCGTTTGACAACATCGTCAACTTATATCGGCTGCCCACTGCTATCATTACATTCACGGACTGCAGGAAGAAGGTGAAGGCAAAATATCACGAAATGGATATTACGAAGATCACCTTCGGAGAGCAAGAAGAAGGGGTGGAGGAAGATGGTGAGAGCATGTCAACAGACTTCCGTCTTCAGATTAAACTGAGGTGGGAGGATTATGCAAACGGACGTGCTGTTTTCCCTCCATAGTTCGACTTCGAGTTCGTTGCAGTGGAGGAAGAAGGGGCAGAGGTAGAGGAAGACGAGATGGAGGCAGGAGTGGAGGGAGCTGAAGTGGATGAGAGCCAACCAGTTCCAGAAGTGGAGATTCATCCAGTTCCCTCCGACGATGAGCAACCTCCTCTACCAGACGAGCAGCAGCCAACACAACCACCTCCTCCAGCTGAGCAGGAGCCAGTGGAGCCACATCTCCCAACGGAGAAATAATTTTATTTTTTAATTTTTTGTAAAAACATTTAGACAGTTTGTAACACTGTTATTTTGTTAAATGGAATTATATGTTTGTTTATGTTTGGTTTATATTTTTTTATTTTTTATTAATAGAAGAACTGAGAGTACTTGAGACATGATTTGAAAGAAGGCTAACCACTTCAGAAATAAACAAAAGGGAAGTAAGTCACTTCAAACGAATTACAAAGAAGTAAATCACTTCAGATAAATTGAGAACAAGGACATTGTTTGCAAATGAATTAAAAGAAAATAAAGCACTTCATATGTGAAGTGACATTTACTAATAAAAAATGAGGTTCCAAGACTAATTGACCTCGGATACATAGAATAAGAAGTAAAATGAATCTGAATAAACACGAAGTGAGAAGTGTAAAGAACAGTAAGACATAGATCACTTGAAAGAATTTTATTAGGGGTAAAATTTCTTCAAGTTGTTGATATTCCAGACTCTAGGAACTCTTTTTCCTTCAGAGTCTTGGAGGACATAGGCACCAGGATGTGGCACCTCGGCCACAGTATACGGGCCTTCCCAATTTGGGGCGAGTTTGCCAAAACGAGTTTCAAATCCTGTTAGGCCAGCTTTTCTGAGAACAAGGTCTCCTACTTTGAATATTCGAGGGTGGATCCGCTTATTGTAGAAGTTGGCTAGCTTCTGCTTGTATACAAGAGTTCGAAGCCGAGCTTCTTCTCTGACTTTGGCAAGCAGATCAAGGTTTTCCCGAAGCAGTTGTCCATTTCGTCCTTCATCGAAATGGGTGACCGGGAAGCTTGGGACTCCTATTTCAACAGGAATGACTGCTTCGGTGCCAAAGGCCAAGTGGTAGGGTGTTTCACCTATTTCAGTTAGTTATAAGTTTAGAATGCGCTTTAGGTATTATGCATATTTGCTCTAAGGTAAAGCGTAACAGAAGAAGTAAAATGATATAGAAATTAATCAAATAGACTCGGTTTAAAGTGGTACCTGTGGCAGTTCGGTTCGTGGTTCTGTATGCCCAAAGGACGTTGTTGAGCTCGTCTGCCCACTTGGCCTTATGCTGTTCCAATCTCGACCTTATACCTTCCAAAATGCATTTGTTAACAGATTTAACCATACCATTGGACTCTGGATGATAAACGGAGGTGAATTGTAACTTGATCCCATAACTGGAACAAAAATCTCGAAATGAGGAGCAATTGAATTGAGTTCCATTATCGGCTACAATCTGATTCGGGATCCCATATCTGTAGATGATCAAGCTGAAAACAAAATCTTCGACCTTCTTGGAAGTAAGACTAGATAAAGGCCAAGCTTCAACCCACTTTGTAAAATAATCCACACCAACAACCAGATGGGTTACACCACCAACTCCTTTCACGAACGGGCCTAAAAGATCTAGTCCCCACTGAGCAAATGGCCATGGTGCTACCAAGTTCGTGAGCTCCTCTGCTGGTTGGTGAGTCAAATGTGCAAAGAATTGACATTTCGGGCATTTCTGAACAAAGTAAGTGGCATCTTTATGCATGTTTGGCCAGTAATATCCTTGCCTTAAGACTTTGTGAGCCAGAGTCCTAGCACCGACATGACTCCCACAGACACCTCCGTGCACCTCTCGAAGTGCATATTCGGCTTCATAGGGGTTTAAACACCGCAGAATAGGAAGTGAGAAAGATCTCTTATATAGGACCCCATCAACGAGTGTATATCGAGATGCTTTCTTTCTCAACTTCATTGCCTTCTGCCTATCCTCAGGTGCTATCCCATCTCGCAAAAAGGAGATGATTGAATCAGTCCAGCTCGGCGCGTTAGGGTTTGCACTAATTTCCATCACCCGAGGCTTCACGAAGCTTGGTTCGTCTAAGACCTCTACAAAAACAGATCTGGAACTTAAAGAGCTATCAGAGGCAAACTTGGAGAGTGAATCTGCCTGTTCATTCTCAGTTCGAGGGATTTTGCTCAGACAAAAGTTCTGGAATTTGCATTTCAGCTCGGCCACCAAGGCTGCATATTTCACCATCACAGGATCAACGACTTCGCAGATTGAGTTGATTTGGTCTACTACCAATTGGGAGTCACTATATACTTGAATTACACTGATTTTTAACTCTAATGCTAGCTGTAGGCCAAGTAGCAGAGCTTCATATTCAGCCATGTTATTTGTTGCATCAAAGTTGAATTTCAAAGCATGTTCGCTTCGATAACCCTCTGGGCCAATCAAGAGAGCGCCCACTCCTGAACCTTTGCTACTAGATGCCCCGTCAACATACAAGGTCCAGTCGTTGGGCTCTGGATTAGAGGTTGAAGGACATGAAGTGCATTCGACAATGAAATCTGCTAATGCTTGAGCTCGAATTGCCGTTCTCTGCTGAAACGTTTTCTCAAACTCCCCCAGTTCCACCGCCCACTTAATTAATCTTCCAGAGCACTCTGGTTTCTGCAGAATTTGCCAGAGAGGTTGATCTATGAGAACGATAATTGGGTGTGACTGGAAATATGGCCTCAACTTCCTGGCCGAAGTGACAACTGCTAATGCTGCTTTCTCAGCTATAGGATACCTCAGCTCTGCCCCGTGCAGTACACTGCTGATATAATAGATTGGTTTTTGCTGCTTGGCTTCTTCTTGCACCAGAACTGAACTAATGGCTTCATCTGAAATTCCCAGATACAAATAAAGAATTTCCCCATCGATGGCCTTAGTCAGTAGAGGTGGCGAGCTAAGATAAGACTTCAGCTCGTTGAATGCAGTTTGGCACTCCTGAGTCCATTCAAATTTCTTCTGTTTTCCTTATTCATCCTTCTGGGCGGCCGACCTCATAATCTTGAAGAATGGCAGGCACTTATATGCTGACTTTGATATGAATCGATGAAGAGCTGCCACTCTTCCAGTCAACCTCTGTATATCTTTTACTGATTTCGGCGGTTCCATATCGGCAATTGCTTTGATCTTCTCTGGATTGACCTCAATCCCTCTTTGGGACACCATGAAACCTAGAAACTTTTCAGACTCCACTCTGAAGATGCATTTGGCTAGGTTTAACCGCATCCTGTTCTTTCTGAGGTTATTAAAGGTTTCGTCGAGGTCGGCTAGATGGTTTTCTGCTTTCAGACTCTTTACCACAATGTCATCCACATACACCTCCAGATTCTTGCCGATCTGAGCGTGGAAGACGATGGTCACCATTTTCTGATAAGTAGCACCTGCGTTCTTTAAGCCGAACGGCATCATGACATAACAATAAATTTCATCGCCAGCATAGAACGAGGTTTTCTCTTCGTCTTTGGGAGCCATTGGCACTTGGTGATACCCAGAATATGCATCCAAGAGGCTTAACCTCTCATTGCCTGAAGCCGCATCAACTAATTTGTCAATGTTCAGCATCGGATAGCAATCCTTAGGGCAGGCTTGGTTAAGATTTGTATAATCAATGCACATTCGCCATTTACCATTTGCCTTTTTCACCAGGACTGGGTTGGCCACCCATTCATAGTAATCAATTTTCTTGACAAAACCAGCCTGTAGGAGCTTATCTACCTCTTCTTTAATAGCCTGAAGCCTCTCACCCCCGAAGAGACGTCGCTTCTAGGCTACTGGTTTCTTTAATGGGTCGGTGCTGAGCTTATGTTGAGACACTAAATTTGGAATTCCCGGCATATCTGTCGAAGTCCATGCGAATACATCATTATTAGCTAGGAGAAAAGCTATTAACTCTGCTTGTTCCTCTGGGTTCAATCTAGTTCCAATCTATGTCTTCCGGCTCAGATCTCTTTTGTCAATGAGCACCTCTTCAACATCTTCGACCGGAGCAGCTCTGGTTTCATCTTCTGGTCGATTATCTATAATCTCAACGCCCATAACTTGCTGATTATCAGAAATTGGTTAGGGAATGGCCTCGGGTGTCTGATCTTTGCCCTTCGTAGGTTGTGTTATTGAGGTGATATAACAATGTCTGGCCACCTCCTGGTTTCCTCGCAGTGTTTCTATTCCCGTAGGAGTTGGGAACTTCATACAGAGGTGAGACTGGGAAACTACAACTCGGATTTCAGTCAGTGTGGGTCGGCCAATAACAATGTTGAAAGAGGACGCCATTTTGACTACGAGGAACCGAACTGAAGGAGTCACATAGGTCCTGCCACTCCCAAAAGCCACATGGAGGGTAAGAACTCCTTTTACCAAAACAAGCTGGTTGTTGAAGCCATAGATAGGACCATCATATTTATGCAACAATGCTGGATCCAGTCCCAAACTCTCGAAACAGTGGAAGTACATGATGTCTGGTGCACTCCCGGTGTCAACAAGGACACGCTATACTTCACAGTTATTAATGATGACAGAAGTGACCAAGGGATCATTGTGGGGTGTAACAACTATATCGAGATCAGCAGACGTGAAAGTAATGGGCTAATTTTTCCACTCAGCATCGTCAATCTTCCGCTTCTAAGCTCGGTTTTGATGTTTAATCTCTCTGACATACAGCTTTCGCTGCTTAGAGCTCAGTCCACCTGCTTCAAGGCCTCCCGTAATCATGTGTATGATTCTGGCTGGGGGTGGGAGCAGAGGTGGGGCTTGCTGGTATCCCACACCTTGCTTATTTGGGGGATTGCGGACTCCTTGAGGCTGCGGCCTTTGTTCTCTGATAAACCTCGGCTGTTCAGCTCTCTGAACATACTCATTTAGCATTCCCTTCTGAGCTAAACTTTCCAGTTCGGACTTTAAGCTGTTGCATTGCTCTGTAGTATGGCCGTGCTCTGTAGTATGGCCGTGATCTTGATGAAAATCACAATATCTAGTGTGGTCTCGACTAGTAGTAGCAGTTTTCATTGGGCCGGGACCCCTTAAATCCATCTTATTCTTGATCTGCATAAAAATTTGTGACCTCGGCAAATTAAAGGGAGTCCAATTAACTAGAGGTTTACCTGCAGATTGTTGCGAGGGTGTTGAGTGCGTCCTTCCGGATCTGATTGGGGAGGTCAACATCGGACCTCGGTTCTGCACCATCTTCATCCTTTTCCTGCTCGGATTGTCATCTCTCCAATCTGGGTGCTGGTTCTTAGAGGGAGGTGGGTTTTGTGCCAGGGCGTACTCCTCAGCAGTTATAAATTTCAGAGACCTATCGTTCACCTCGCTAAAGGTGGTGGCAGTATGTTTGATCAAACTGTCTCTGAACCTGTCATGCTTGAGACCGGAGATCACAGCTGCAATTCCCACAGCTTGATCAAAGGAACTAACCTCTAAAACAGCATCATTGAACCTGCTCATATAGTTCTTCAGAGATTCTCCATCCCTCTATTTAACTCACATCAGCTCAGAAGTAGTTTTCCTAATCAACCTTCTACTGGAAAACTTAGTGGCAAAGGCAGATGCCATTTCTGTATAAGAGCTAATTGACCTCGGAGGTAAACTGTAATACCAAGTTCGGGCATTACCTCAAAGAGTAGAGGGGAAGATTTTGCACATTAACGCATCAGAGGCGTTCTGAGCTTGCATGCGAGAGTAGAAAGCATGCAAATGATCGTCAAGATCCTTTGTCCCGTCATAAGTCTCCAGTTGTGGTATTTTGAAGCCAGCAGGATAGGGTTCCAGTGTAATGTTGGTATTTAGAGGGTGAGGTATGGAGTCAGCAGCATGGTGTGGGGGTGGAGCACCTCGGTGTTTAGCTACTAGCTTTTCCAAGCTATCGAGGCGTCGAGTGACATCATCAGGGATGGGTTGTTGAGCGGGTGCAATGTGGGATTGACCCTGAGATTCACTAATAGCGGGAGCATGCTGA